ATAAATGGAAATAAATCCCAATTATCCTAACTTAGAATAAATAAACAATTAATAAACACTGTTGTCAATCAATAATAAACCCGGCGTTTCAAATATCCAAAGCAATGCACAGCTAAACAAATGTCCACATGTCCTTTTTCTTTTACTGATTAAATCAAGCACTGCAAGTTCTTAATTCAACTGCCTCAGCTCATATCTCAGAATAACTTGAAAAGCACTGTAGAATTAATTCTTTTTGAGAAATATGCGCACAAACCCTAGTTCTTGACTAAATGCCAAAGAAACGTCCGTCTGATCAAACTGAGCCAAAATCAACCAAAACCCTAGCAATCTGCTTGAACTGTTCCAGAGCCATGAAAACCCTAATTTTGTCTGACTGATAAGAAAAGTCTGTTTGACTGATTCTTACGCCAATCTGAAAAAATCAGGAAAAGCCCGAAGCTGTGATTTCTTATGGAGAAATACGAGGGCAAATTTTGGGGTACAACAATACCAAAGGCAAAGGAAAGTGTTTCGGTAGAGGTAGAGGTGGCTACAACAAATCGAATGGTAGAGGAAACCAGATTAAAGGAAACGTTTTGAATCAAAGAAGACCATACCAAGGCAACCAAAGAGGTGGTGCTGCAAATAGAGGTTGAGGTGGTGGTTGAAAACCTGATAAGAGTCACATTCAATGTTATAATTGCCAGAAGTATGGTCATTATTCGAGTGATTGTCCAGAAAAAAGAAAGAATCAAGAAAGTGATGCAAAGCTTGCAAAACATGAAGAAGAAGAGATGATGCTGATGGTCACAACAAGAGATGAATATAGATTCAAGGACCAATGGTACTTGGATTCAGGATGTTCATCACATATGTCTGGAAGGAAAGACTGGTTCGTTAATATAAAGTCCTCAATGAAAAATATGGTAAAATTTGCAAATGACAATACCCTAGCGGCTGAAGGTATTGGTGATGTTATGATTATGAGGAAGATGGTAAAAGGTCAGTAATCTCCAATGTGTTGTACATACCAGGCATGAAGAGAAATTTGCTCAGTATAGGGCAGTTGGTCGAAAAGAATTATAAAGTGTCAATCGAAGATAAGATGATGAGAGTCGTTGATGCAAATGGGAGATTAATCTTGAAGGCTCCTATGTCTCAGAATCGAACCTTCAAGATTGAACTAAATGTGATGGAACACAAGTGCCTTTCGACTGCAGCTAGCAGAGATGAAAGGATATGGTATTATAGACTAGGCCATCTCAACTTCAGAGACATCATAGATTTGAAGAGAAGAAATATGGTTTCAGGATTTCCAGAAATTGACATTCCAAACGAGGTATGTGAGGAATGTGTGCAGGCGAAGCAACACAAGAATAGCTTCAGCAAGGATGCAGGAAGCAAATCGAAGGCTAGTCTTGAAGTCGTATACTCTGATGTATGTGGACCAATCCAGGTGGATTCGATGGGAGGAAACAAATACTTTGTTACATTTCATAGATGATTTCAGTCGAAAGCTATGGACTTACCTGATCAAGAAGAAAAGTGAAGTGATCGAAGTATTTACCAAGTTTAAGTCTATGGTCGAAAGACAAAGTGGTCGAAAGCTCAAAGTTTTGAGAACTGATGGTGGTGGAGAATATGTGTCGAAAGACTTCGACAGATTATGTGAAAAGGAAGGGATTGTGCATGAGGTGGTGCCACCCTATACTCCACAACAAAATGGAATTGCAGAAAGGAAAAATCGAACCATCATGAATATGGTGAGAAGTATGTTGAAAGGCAAGAATTTACCTAAAGAGTTTTGGGGTGAAGCTGTTTCGACTGCAACATACATTTTGAACAGATGTCCTACAAAGAAGCTAGAAGGAATTACTCCAGAAGAATGTTGGTCTGGTGTGAAGCCTAGCTTGAGTCATCTGAAGGTATTTGGATCTATTGCATATAGACATGTGCCAGATCAGTTGAGAAGAAAACTTGATGATAAGTCAAGTCAAATGATTCTAGTTGGATATCATTCGACAGGAGGCTACAAGTTGTTCGATCCAGTGAAAAAGCAGATTGTGATCAGCAGGGACATGATCATAGATGAGTTTAAAGAATGGGATTGGACTGAAAATATCAAGAAAGATTCAGTGGGAATCCTTCTTGAAGAGCCAGAAAATCAAGTCGAAAGAGAAGTTCGACAAGAGGAACCAACAGATATACCAAGTACAAGCAAGCCTCAAAGAACAAGACGCATGCCTGCAAGATTGTAAGATTGTGTGATTACATCAGATGATGTAATAGATAATGAAGGTGAGCTGGTACATTATGCTTTCTATTCAGATGTCGAACCTGTTAATGCAGCTGAAGCATTAAAGGATTCGAAGTGGGTGAAAGCAATGAATGAAGAAGTAAAGTCTATCAAAGACAACAACACTTGGTCACTTGTCGAATTACCTCAAGGAAAGAAGGAAATTGATGTCAAGTGGGTATACAAAGTGAAAACGAATTCGAAAGGTGAAGTAACTCGACACAAAGCAAGACTTGTGGCGAAAGGATTTCTACAGAAAGAAGGAATAAACTTCGATGAAGTTTTTGCACCTGTTGCTAGGATCGAAACAATCAGGTTGGTTGTTGGTCTAGCAGAAATAAATAGTTGGCACATATGTCAGATGGACGTGAAGTGTGCATTCCTAAATGGACCCTTAGATGAAGAAGTCTATGTTAAACAACCAGTTGGGTTTGTGAAACATGACGAAGAAAGAAAGGTGTACAGGCTACATAAAGCCTTGTATGGATTGAAACAAGCTCCAAGGGCTTGGAATAAGAAAATTGATAGTTTTCTAAGGGAGAAGGAATTTGTGAAGTGCACAACTGAACATGGAGTATATGTAAGAAGAAGGAAGAGTAAATTGCTTATACTATGTCTCTATGTAGATGATTTGTTGATAATAGGTAGCTGTAAAAGTGAGATCGAAGACTTCAAAGGTGATCTCAGCAAGGAATTCGAAATTTCTGATTTGGGTGAGATTTCATATTTCCTTGGTATCAAATCCTACAAGAGCAGTAGAGGTTTGATGATGCATCAAAGAAGATATGCAGGAGAAATTCTCAAGAGGTTTGAGATGGAAGAATGCAACTCAACTTCGACACCTGCAGAACCAAGATTGTAACTGTCGAAAGATGCAGATGAAGATGATGTTGATCCAACCTAATACAGAAGACTTATTGGATCATTGAGATGCCTTTGTCATATAAGGTCTGACTTAGCATATAGTGTAGGTATGGTAAGTAGATTCATGTAGAAGCCAAAGGTATCACATCTAGCAGCAGTGAAGAGGATACTAAGGTATCTCAAAGGAACTTTTGATTATGGCATTTTGTTTCATGCAGTTGATAAAGGAAAAAAATGCAAGTTAGTGGGATACACTGATTCAAGTTGGTGTAGTGATGCTGAAGATCGAAAGTCAACAACATGATATGTGTTTATGCTAGGTGGTGCACCAATTGCTTGGAATTCAAGAAAGGAACCAGTAGTGGCATTATCATCATGCGAAGCAGAATACATAGCTGCTTCTCTTTGTGCATGTCAAGCAACTTGGATGGTGAACTTGGTCGAAGAGATAACAGGGAAAAATCATGGAGCAATTACCATGAAGATAGACAACATGTCAGCTATTAATCTGGAGAATAACCCAATAGCACATGGTCGAAGTAAGCACATCGAAATGAGATTCCATTATCTTCGAGAGCAAGTAGCAGATGGGAAGATGAATTTGGAACACTGCAGAACTGAGAATCAGATTGCAGACATCATGACGAAGGGAGTGCAAGTCGAAGTATTCAGAAAGCTAAGAGCCATGATGAACATAGATAGTTTAGACACAATGAATTAGGTGGTGTGTTAAATTGTAATCCAATGTGTCGAAAAGATTTGATTTGTTTTAGATTTAAATAGATTTGATTTAAGTCTAGAATAAATTAGATTTGATTTAGTAACAAAAAAATATTTTGGGCTTTGGGCTTAGGTGTAATCTCAGTTATAAATAGAGGGAGTAACCCCTATTTTTGTAAGCAAGTCAAGCAAATTGTATTCACAGAATTTGTAGTTGCAAGTGAATAACAAAGTTTTCACAGTTTGTGAGCAGAAAGAAACTCTGCAGAAATTATTTGTCTTGTCTTCTTTTCTTTGTTTGTCTCATAATTAAATTGTCATTGTGGTAGAAATTCATCATAGAATTTGGTGAATTTCCAACGGTTAGTAAAAAAATCAACATAATCTATATACAAATTTTGAAAAAACTTTGCAGATCGGACGATTCAACATCAAGTCATCCGGTGAAGAAAAAATGGACCACATGATTCAACATCAAAACATCTGATAAAAAAACATGTGAAATGGATAACTCAACCTTAAGACATCCAATAGTGAGAAATGTGAACAGATGATTTAACATTAAGACATCATATGAAAACAAATATGAACCGGATGACTCAACCTTAAGACCTTCGATAGTGAGAAATGTGAACCGAATAACTTAATATCAAAACATCTGTAGTGTAAAAATATGTACATGAACCGGATTAACGATGGTTTAGTATTTTGTGACTTAGAATTTATTTTCTTTCAATGTCTACACTTTGTGACATGTATTGTCAACAGTTTAGATAACTACGTGACACTCAATATTTTTTAACAAGGGTTTGAAATTGAACTCTTCTCATGGCGACATTAGCTAGAGCTATTTTATTCTTAATTTAAAATGAAAGTTGACAAGATTTCCAATTTTTATTTCATAAGCTTCTTGCAATTGGTGGCATCTACATTTAGACCAGGGGAGAAACCAAGGTCTTGTAACACAATGTTGAAGTACAACTGACAATGCTCAGGTACAAAAAACAGCAGACTTTGGCCGGCAAATAAAAACAACTTTAAGAGACAAGACAACTATTATAATATGGTGAATTAATAGGAAATTCATATGACAGTATTATCATCACTCACCCGGAGCAACAATTTCTAGAGAGAAAAAATGTCTTCATTTTCAGTTGAAGAATTCATAGGAAATGGAGTTTTAAAGGAACTGCTCCAAAAACTGTTGGAAGAAGGTTGGGATGATGTACCAACACTGAAGATTATGGGGACAGAAGACATGGATTTAATATACATGACACAAAAGCAAAAGGTTGGTGATAGTTATGAATATCATATTTAAAGTTTTACTCAAAACTATACTCTTCTTAATGTCTTTTTCCTTTAATACGATAGGAAGTACTTGGAATGAGATGCTACCTGCATGATAAAGGAGTGATGCAATATGCTGATAAGATGGAGGAAAGTGGCGAAAATCTGCTAGAGCTTCTCAAACTAAGCAGTAATGATCTTGTTTCGAAATTCGAAATGAAAAGAGGCCACGTCGCTCGTTTCATTAACAAAACAAGAGGCGATGATTCTCTTAAGCTACAAAAACTTCCTCTAAGAAGAAAAACAAGCATAGTAATACATGGAGATGATAGCATCATCCCGAAGAGTAATGTATCAAATTACGCGTCAAGTAACAGTAGTACTACAAGATCGAATACAAGAAGCAATGCAGGTTCTGATGAGCAATCGATGATTAAAGATGGATATGTTTTTAAAGGGATTGTAGCTTCTGAGCCAGCTGAGCTTAGAGCATGTGGTTGTCTGAAACCACCTCAAGTTAGCGACCAAGTTGCTAATTATTGTGCTGTTGAGAATATTTCAGTTCAGAAATTAACTCCTGAGTATAAGATTGGCATGGAACCGTTGTTGAAATTTAAAACTCCACCGTTGAAGGCTTCTGAACTTTGGCGAAATAAACCGGCTGTTTTCTTGTGTCTTCGAAGACCAGGGTGCATCATGTGTAGAGCTGAGGCACACCAGCTTTATTTAAGAAAACCAGTATTTGATTCACTTGGTGTTCAACTATTTGTAGTTCTTCACGAGGACATAGAATCTGAGGTAATTCAAATCACTCTTCACTTCATCCATATATATATATATTGCATCATTCTTCTTAGGTTTGAACTATATATTATCATTGTAAGACAGGTAAAAGATTTCTGGCCTAGATACTGGGGCGGCGTGGTAGTTCTTGATCGTAGCAGGGATTTCTATAAAGCTCTTGGTGGTGGAAAACTACTTAAAGAGAATTTTATATCAGGGTTTTTGCTGAATCCAAAAGCACTTTCTAATTATAAGCGATCGAAAAGTATGAACATTGAGTATAATTTTAAAGGTGAAGGTGAAATAAAGGGTGGATTGTTTATTATAGGGAGTGGAAAGAGTGGCATTGCTTATCAGTTTATAGAGAGAAACTTTGGTGATTGGGCACCATTAGCTGAAGTCATTGAAATATGTACTCAAATGCAGAAGGTAACAAGAGGGTGAAAGGGAGTTTGTGCTACATTGAAAAGTTCCAACTCTAATATAAATTCGTTTAATAATAAATTTTACTATGTTTGATTAAATTTTATCAAAGTAATACATTTGTTTGCTATATGGGTACTTTTGTTTCATGGTAATTATTAACAATTCATTCAAAGCACAATTGTTTCAATGTAATTAAAAAATGTTTAAAAAAAACTAAAATACAAAATAAGATTAAAAAAATTAGGTGGAATTGAAATTTGAATTCTTTAAATAAAGGGGCGGAACTCAAAAGTTAAATTCTTGATACATATAAATCACCTATTTTTTTTATAAATGAATTGTATAATGCAACACAATGAGTTGGGTAATACAAATAAATAAATAAATAAATAAATAAATAAATAAATAGTATGATAATAACTTTCTAGAAGAAAGTAAAAAAACACACATATTTTTTTATTTCTCTAATTATTATAATTGTTGAGAGATCTCAATCAAAATTTCATTAAAAAATAGTATGATAGTAACTTTCTAACGAAAGTCACATAGGATACTCCTTCAAATATATTAAGTACGAATTAATAAAATGGCTTAAATGCAGTTTTGACCCCCTCTAGTTTAAGGTTTTTGGAGTTTCGATCCCCCTAGTTTAAAAGCCAGGTTTCTAGTCCCCAAAAGTTTTCAAATTTGGGATTTTTGAAGCCCCCTCCATCTGGCTGCCCAAAAAGTGACATGGCACAGGGAGAGTAATGCCACGTATTATTTTTTATTTTATTTTTTTTTTATTTTTTTTTATTTTATTTTTATTTTATTTTTATTTTTTAAAAAAAAAATTTTTTTTTTCTTCTCCTCATGAGCAAAATTAAGGTTCGAAAGGAAAAAAAAAAATTTAAAAAAAAAAAAAATTAAAAATTAAAAATTAAAAAAAAAAAAAAAATACGTGGCATTACTCTCCCTGTGCCATGTCACTTTTTGGGCAGCCAGATGGAGGGGGCTTCAAAAATCCCAAATTTGAAAACTTTGGAGACTAGAAACTGGCTTTTAAACTAGGGGGATCGAAACTCCAAAAACCTTAAACTAGGGGGGTCAAAACTGCATTTAAGCCTAATAAAATTTATTAATAGGAACATTTATAAACATAGTATAAGTAATACGTGTTAAAAGTATACGGATTATAAAAAAATTAATTTTATTAATAAAAATGGTTATAAATACTATATAGTGTAATAAGAGTATAACACTTGAAAAAGAAGAAAACAATCATGTTAAAGAGTTGAGAGAAAATTTAAATTTTAATAAACAACTAGTATGATATCCGTGCATTCGCACAGATACCGGTTTGACATTCACATTGAGTTAAGAAGAGTTCATGTATGAAGAAAAAAGAGTCACAATTGAAGTCTCCCATTATTCAATAGTTATAAATACTCGCATTGAGTTAAAAAGAGATCATGCATGAAGAAAAAATAATTACAATTGAAGTATACCATCATTCAACCGTTATAAATTTATCATAATTCAATAAAATGCAAGTATTTTACTCACTATAATTTCTATTCATGATAGAAAAATAGTATATGATAGTAATGATATATATTGATAATAACAAAAGAATATGAGACAAATATAAATAATTATCCAATAAAACAGTAATGTAAATCAAAAGATTTGTTGTACCAACTTTCATAAATATAATATCAAACATTATCCAATATATAAAATAAGTCGCTGTCTGTAATTCTTCCGATATATAAAATTATTTGAATAAATAATATATTTTTTATATAAATATTATTTTTGTTTTGGAATTGCTGTAAAAAAATATTTAAACCAATAATAAAGTTGTTCTATTAATATTCAATATGTTTATGAGTAATTTCATATTCCCGTTAATATTCAATAATTTAATGAGTAACTTCATGTTCCCGTTAATGTTCAATATTTTGATCAATAACTTAATGTAATTTCATATTTCCGTCAATATTCAATATTTGGATCAATAACTTCATATTCTCATTAATATTAAATATTTTGACCAGTAACTTTATATTCTCAATATTCAATATTTTTATCAATAACATCATGTTCCCGTTAATATTCAATATTTTGATCATTAACTTCATATTTCCGTTAATATTTAATATTTTGATCAGTAACTTCAGGTTTCCGTTAATATTTAATATTTTAGTTAGTAACTACCGTTAATATTTAATATTTTGATCAATAATTTAATATTTCTGTTAATATTCAATATTTTGATTAGTAACTGCATGTTTCTGTTAATATCAATAACTTCATGTTCCGTTAATATTCAATATTTTAATTAATAACTTTATGTTCTGTTAATATTCAATAGATTGATCAATAACTTCATATTCTCGTTAATATTTAATATTTTGATTAGTAACTTTATGTTCTCGTTAATATTCAGCATTTGTAAATATTATTTTAGTTGTATAAAAAAAATTAGTAACATAAATAGTCTTAAAATACCATATCATTACAAAACGTTTTTCACTCATCATTATAAAACAGTCTTATAGTAGCTATTTTTTTATAAATAATTTCGAAGTGTTTTTTCATTTCAATTTAATATGAGTCTTATAGTTTATCAAAAAAAAAAAGAGTTTTTTTTGGTATAAAGTGGCATACAATCTTGAACTTATTTGAGATTGGAAGTGGAGAAAGTGCTAAAAAAAAATATTGTCCATAAAATTGTTTTTGTAATAGCAGTACAAATTATGAGGGAGACCCACAATATATACATATACATATAGACCATCATAAACTAACTTAAGAATATTCCGAAGTTAAAATACTTTGATAGGAACTAAAATCCTAAACTGAATTTGTTTTATATGGGATGGATGGTCATTCAAAGCTATAAATTGTTTAACATGAATTATCAATTATTTAAGTATATTCTACAAATTAAATTTTGCTTATCCTAAAATTGTAGTATTATCCACCTCTTTCTGTAGTTAAAGGGTGTATAGAGTTGCATCTATAAATGTCAGAGGAAATAGGACATTGGAATATAAATGTTCTATTGAGAATGTTGTCGGAATTGCTTTCTTTTTATACCAAAAAGCAATTGAAGCATGCCTCTTTTTGTCCAGCTTAGAAACTACACAATCCGTGGTATCTACCACAGTGCTTGAATTATATGCTAAGGTAAGCTTGACTTAAATTGTACACGAATACTTTAGAAGAGATGATAGGCTAATAGAAATGACATATCCTTGCAATTTTACTACAGTTCCTACTTTTCCTGCGTCACCTTAATCACTTAACTGAGATAAATTGTGGTGGAAAAGCCATTACATGACGTAAACAAATGCCAAAAAAAGCTCATGAGATTTCAATCACACAACTCTGTTATCTGCTATTTAGACAGTTGCTTAGTTAAAAATATTAGTGAACAACTTTCACTGATTTGTTTTTCTCAAATATTTCCTATTTGCCATTCCCGTGATGAACATTTTGCTCCAGTGTCTATCGCTTGACATCCTTTTCACCAATTCCACTATTCATCTCGTTATCGCTAAGAACATATGAAGGAGCCCACTCCAAGTATAAGGGAGCATCCCTACATTGAACTTACTACCAATTAACAATTCTGCATGGAACTTGTGAACAAAAGAAACAAAGAAATCTTACTTGTAACGCTTGTAAGCTAAACCTCTAAAAGCATTAGCTTCTGCTGGTTCAAGGAAAACAACCTAAGATGTCTGTTATACCCCAAAATTTGCCCTCCCATATTCCTCAAGAAATTGCCAAGCCAGGTCACAAAATTCCCTAAGGGTTGTGCAGGTCAACTGTCTCCTATACAGTCAAAACTAGGGTTTGAGTTCTGGTCAGGCAAATGAACTTTTCAAAGGCCCAATCAAGTCTTATATGCTTACAAACATGGTCAAGCATCCTCATATCAAGTTTCAAGGCATTCAGCTCAAGATTGCACAGTCAAAACCCTAGATTGCACTACAGTCAACTGTAGGGGCAAAATGGTCATTTGACAGTCAAAAGTTCAAATTTTTGGTCAACATATCATTTTGAAGCCACAAACATCATTTGATCAATGCTTGATCATGATTCTCAAAATTTGGCTCAGAAATCATCAAAGATGCAAAAGTTGCTATATTTGGACAGCTGAAAAAGTCAACTGAAATTGACCAGGGCATAACTTTCACATGGATTATCAGAAAAATTCCATCCAAAGCTCATTTTGAAGAGAAAGACATTTCCTACAACTCATCTTCATACTTCAAGTCCAAGAAATGCTCTCACAAAAAGTTATCAATTTCAACATTACAGGTCATTTTCAAAAGTCAACAAAAAGGGACTTTAAGTCAAAGGCCATAACTTGAGATTGGTAAATCAAAATGACATGGGACCAAAGGCATTGGTTAAAGGACTCAAAGACCTTTCCAAAATGTCCAAGAACATGTGAAAAGCTTAAAAATTGAGCAAGTTATGCCTTGTAGAAGTTGGGAAATTTTTGTGAAATGGCAAAAGTCAACTATCCTTGAAAATCCAATTTTTGACAAAAGGTCCCCATTTTTCTCACTTTGTTCATCCTTGTCATGCCACACACGTGGCCCATGGTTGATTTCAAGACCAAATGTTGACTTTTTTATTTTATTTAATTTTTGATGATTTAATTCATTTTAATTCTTTGAAAATTCAAATAAAATTTAAAAATCAATGAAATGGTGTCATATGAACTTGGACAAGTTCTATGTATCATGAACCAACTCAAAAATCAGGCCAAGGTTCATTTACACACTAGGTCTAGGTTTTGGCTAGAAAATAGGAAAAATGGTTAATGGATGAAACCCTAATGCCAATTCTTTCTCAAGCATGGATTAAGGTCAAATAGCAAGCCAAGTCTATTCCATAATGATCATTGAGTCAAACCCTAACCCTAGTGCAGCAAAAAACTCGTTCAAAAGCCATTGGACAATTTGAAAAATGGACCATAAAATGAAAATCTGATTTCAAAGCTAGGGATCTTTTTC